TACTGTTGTCCAATGTAGCACTGATGCACGCATCAGAAAAAGCTTTTTCCTTCGTCAACGCCGTAGAACTCTGCAATGCGACTAGAAGATTCAGTGCCAAAAATTTTTCTTAAAAAGCTGGTGAACCTTGACTGTGGCCTGATACGATGGACTGTTCAATTGAGCTGCCATGATCTTAAGGTTGTTGGCATCAGCAAAATGGAATGAAACCTGTAACGTGGGAGGTAAAGGCATTTCTCCAATGCCTCGTGCAAACTCATTCAAATAGAGGTTTTAGTGCTTGGAGTTAGTAAGGTCACTAACCAGTTGGTCGTAGTTTCCACAAGCGTACTGATAAAAGTCCGTACACGGATCGAACGAGGTGTTTACGGAAGGCTGAAAGCTTCGATATTCATTAAGGATCTACGATAAAAAATATCCATCAGGATGAGTTTACTCTTTGGGCTAGTTATTTCTATTAAGCTGCTATTGTGTGAAAAAAAATTTGTGCTGAAGATGGGGGAAAGCCCATTGAATAGAAAACAAATAAAGAAATGAGAAGAATGAAAAGAGGATAGAAAGCGGCCCTCTTTGACAGAGGACGTTTTTTCAACACTCACTTGTGAGTGCGAACCTTTTCGAATAAGCACAATTTTCATGGCGAGCATTTCTACAAGATCAAGACGAAAGGAGGATGGACATCTAACCTATTAGATGTCCTTCGTTTCAACCCAATGGGAGTTGAAGATGGCACTTCTGGAGAGTCCATCTCCACCATGCTATACCAGGGCACAGCATTCGATGGGGATTTTGGTCGAGCTTTTACGACCCCCCCCCTTTTTTTCAGGGGCTGGTACGACCCCCCCCCATAGGGAATCCCCAACCAATGCTGTGCCCTGTGCCATACTGCTTGCCAACTCTTTGCACCCAAATTACTTGAAAGCATTCCAGGGCGTGGACCACAGTCACGTGGAATAATGCTGACGATGAAGGGATGTGCTTTGTAAGTGACACGTCAGGCAGAAGAAGCCCCGTAGCGTTGTATGCGTCATTTTAAGACTAGTATTATTGGGGGCAGGCTCCGCCCACAACGAATGCCTCGCGCTTCTCAACTTATGACCCCTCGATGACCTTAAACTACTTTTTCCCGGTCTAGAGTGCTCTGGAAGCGTTTTGCGAATTTTTTAAGTTTGGCTCCACCCACCTTGGGGCACGCCCCGCCCACAACGTATGCCCCGCGCTTCTCAACTTATGACCCCTCGATGACCTTAACTACTTTTTCCCGGCATCTAGAGTGCTCTGGAAGCGTTTTGCGAATTTTTTAAATTTGGCTCCACCCACCTTGGGGCAGGCTCCGCCCACAACCAATACCTCGCGCTTCTCAACTTATGACCCCTCGATGACCTTAACTACTTTTTCCCGGCATCTAGAGTGCTCTGGAAGCGTTTTGCGAATTTTTTAAGTTTGGCTCCACCCACCTTGGGGCAGGCTCCGCCCACAACGTATGCCCCGCGCTTCTCAACTTATGACCCCTCGATGACCTTAAACTACTTTTCCCGGTGTCTAGAGTGCTCTGGAAGCGTTTTGCGAATTTTTTAAGTTTGGCTCCACCCACACCTTGGGCAGCTCCGCCCACAACGAAATGTCTCGCGCTTCTCAACTTATGACCCCTCGATGACCTTAAACTACTTTTTCCCGGCATGTCTAGAGTGCTCTGGAAGCGTTTTGCGAATTTTTTAAGTTTGGCTCCACCCACCTTGGGGCACGCTCCGCCCACAGCGGGAGTGCCTCGCACATTCCTGCATGTGATCAGTTGGGGGCCATAATCCACTTTTTTTGCGCCATCTGTAGTGCTTTAGCCACCCAAATTACCGTTCTTATTACAATGGTCCTGGCGTCAAACATGCACGCCCGCCCACTGTGGGCGGGCCTTAGTACTTCGCAAACATGGTGGACTCTTGACAGATGTTCATCTTCGTCATGGAGTTTTCTGCGACCTCTAAACATGTTCGGGAGCCCGAGTTACCTATCTTTATGGAAAGCGCCGCCCATCTCAAGCACGCCCCGCCCATTTCGGGTGTGTTTCCTTTATTTGCTCCGCCAACCCAATGCTAGCCTTATTCTACTTTTTCCCATCTCCGGGTTGCCTTTTAGCCGAGTTATAGCTTTTTTTCAGTGACACGGGAAGCACCGCCCATCTCAAGAACGCCCCGCCCCATTT